CCCCCCCCCCCCCTTTTTTTTGTAACGTAGGCATTTGTTTGTGTATGTGGAAGGGTGAATTCGTATAACGTGCACTTTGCTTTTCACAGTGTTCTGTTGTGCCCTAGGTAGGTCACAATACAAAATGTAATTCTTAGCATGTTAAAAAAACCCAAACCCTAAGCAGATTTTTTTTTTTTGCGTCAAGTGAAGACCTGGTTTTATACCACCAATATCATAAACACTAGGTACAGGTTTGTGGGGGAAAAAACCCACCGTTTTGTATTAATGGGAGTGCTTGATGGTAAAAATTCTGAGTATAAATGACAGAATATTGACGTTGGGTGATTGTAGGTTCCTGTGGATGAAGTGATGCAGTCTGTGTTACGTACATTAGCCCTGTAAGGTTCTGTAAATTTAAACACTTTGTTTACAAAATTGTGCAGGACTGCATGATGCAGTAGTAAAAGGTGAAATTTTAGTAGCTTTTAGAAATGTTGTAAGGCATTGCAAAAGAGAAATATTGCAGTTTTATATTATATCTGGTATGGAAGAAAACATGGTAATAAAGTAATACAGGATGTACATGGTGACTAAAGTAACCGAAAGGGCGGGATCATTTGGAGTTTCTACAGAAAAATACAAGTTGTGAACTATGCTGTGGTCTTCCTCATGCAAGAGATTTGGATGGATGGCTGTTGAATTTATTTTAAGCAACATCTCTGTAAACGCTTGTCTGAAATATTTAAATTATATGCCTCATTAGGCAAATGGGTTTATCTTCCCATTGCTTGGCTAAAGGAATGCACTGGGAGGGCAAGGGCTGGAAGAACAATACAGTGTGGCTGCATAGTTTCACTGCATGGTTTGTCCTCGTGCATTGTTCAGAGACGCATAGATGCATAGAATGTATTTTATTTGGCGTTGGTGATCTTATAAAGTTGACTTTGCTGATTTTATTTTTATGCTGTAGTTACTGTCAACATAAATAACTGAATTTCAGTTACTATAACAATAGATTTAACCTACCGTTTAGCTGGAATGGATGAAAAACAGTTCCCTCCTTTGATTTTAATCTGTTCATTCAGAATCACTGCAATGGACTTCAGTGTCAGCAGTTCTTCAGTATTGGAAGAACTGGTTACAAATAGAATGAGTTTCCCATCACATTGAGCTAAGACACTGCACTAGGAATGGCAAAATCCCTGCCTTTTGCTTGTGCTTCAAATTTTGTACAAACGGCAGTTTAGAGAAGATATCTTAGCCTGAAGACCATCTGCATGCATATTACAGTTATATAAAACTCAGCTTCTGTATTTGATTTTATGTAATGCAACACGTTATTTCTGCAGTGCTTTTGGTGGCTCTTGGATAGTTTCAGAATTGATATGCTGTGAGGAGAACCTGTTAGAATTCTTGTGCTACCAGGTTTATAATTTGTTGCTCTCAATATTTTATAGCGTGGGTATAAATCATTGACACAGATGCCGTAGCAGCCAACTGTGAGATTGCATTTAGCTTATGTCTTTACAGTTTAACCAGAGTATGACAGGATCTTGCCTAGTGTGAGTGCATTCCATTCCCAATGCAATAGGAATCTTCAAAGAACAAAGGTTGGGTCAAATTTTTTACTCTACAGAAGAAGGCAGAGAAAGACCAACTCTAGGGTTACACCAATATGGATAGGGAAGGAGTTCATCAGGTGTGTTGTGTACAGTTATATTATTCAGACTTCATATGAGTCTCCTGGAAGTGGGCTTTAACTCGTGTAAAACAAACCCAGACTTGAAAAATTGTGGTGTGAGGTTTCTGTTCCTTGTTTGTCCCTTTTCACTCCTGCCCTTGCATTTCACAGGCAACCCAAACCAAGCTGTAAAGCTGCTTCTGCCTCTATGAGCTGAGGTTCTAGAAGTCCACAGCTTCTGCATTAATAAGGCCTAAGACAAATAACTAATTCTAGTGAATCAAATTCTTATTATGTGTCTGCTTTTCTGACCACTGTAAGAACAGGCATCTCAGTTCAATCCTTTGAGAAGGTGGCAGTCACCACTCCAGCAGTCACATTTTCAAGATGTAGCATCTTTGGTGTGTGAATGGCTAATCGTTTAATAGTAAGAGGACAGCATCTATTATTCATCATTAATTTATACACGCTACATCAAACAAAACATCATTTCAGAGTCCTGATGAGACTCATTGATTCCCACTGTGTTTTGGGAGAGTTTGACATTTTGACCCACCTTTCTTGGAACATAGTTAATATTGGGGATAAAAAAACATACAAGAGACCAAGTAGGAATGTATATATGAGTGGCATTTTTAAATATTTTAATCTCTTGTAGAGAACACTTCAGTTTAGTTCATGAAACTCATATCTAGTCACTATCAATTCCTGCAAAGACCATAACTGAGTATATTTCATGACTGAGTATATTTCCTTACCGTAGTTGGCACTACTGGGAGCATACCACTCTTGGAACAAATGGCCTCTTTCGGAAAATCATGAATCTTAGCTAAGTAAAGCACCATTATACCCCTGAAATGACTTGCTTTATTGACTTTTTTTTTAAAAACTGATTACTTTATCAAATTCTGTGATAGTTGATACCGTGTTTATATCCTCGTGTTTTGCTATGTAGTTATATTTTTATTACCCAATCTAGATAAAAATTGATAGAATGTCACTGGTTCCAAGTAAAAGCCATCTAAAGTTGGTTCTAAGAGACTGGCTGTGGTGAAGTCAAGGGATCTGCTTAATTATATCTTTCAAAATCAGGCCATCTGAGGAGTTAACCTAGAAAAACAAAATCAGTGGATACTTCTGTAGATATGTAAATCTGTGTTTTCTCAAACATAGACTTTTTGCACAAGATAGATGCTTATTAGTGGTTGTACGCTGAGGAAGGAACCTGTGGGCCTGAGTATGTGCAGTTCTCCATCTCTCCAGTACCTCTTTGTGAAGGATCTCTTGGTCTGATTGAGACAAGTTGAGTGATTTTGAATATAGAGTACATACAGAAAGAGCAAAATTGTAATGTTTAGATCTCAGATTCCAGGCTGAGTAGCCCAATGAAGTAATTTTCATCCAACACTGGTCTAATGGCGATGGTGGTGGTGGCAGTTATCACAAGATTCTAAGACCCATTAAGAACACACGAGCAAGATTATGCTTCTCTGCTTCACTCTCCAGTTTATATTGCTCTGGGAAGACCTTTCTGTTCCCAAATTCTATGCAGTATGCTCTGCAGATACCGTGGCTTTCTTGGACAGTTTAGCATCTTTGTTCAGTAAGGTCCTTGACTGCAGTGTCAAAATCTTCTGTGCATGCTTCAGTTGATGTTGTTTATAATTATGGGTTTTCTGCATCTCAGGGCACATGCATTTTGTTTCAGAAGCTTCAGCAGGGTTTCGGTGAGCTGCTGCGTGGATATATGCCAGCACACCACTAGTCTATTAGTTTATGATTTGTAGGTCAGGGAGAAATTGGGATATTTTGCTATCTAAGCAGTATCATCTCTTTGCTGCTTCAGTGCTTACATGACATCTCAAGTTGGCTGAAGATTAAAAGGACACTGTCAAGGTATCTTTCACGATTTCATTTTTATTATTTATTTTGTTTGCCTTATTATTGCTGTCATAATCCATTGGAAGCTTGAAGTCTGGTGCCTTGCCGACAGGCCTTTGTCCTCCAGAACCGTTCCTGTTTAGCTGCTTATGGTTTATTTAAGAGTTGTGAAGCATTTACTGTCTTCTGAAATACATTACTGAAGAGTTACAGCTTAAACATTGCAAGCAAGTGAGGGGGAAGAAGTGAGTAAATCAGTTTGAGTCCAGTCCTGATGTCGGGTAGTTCTGTGAAACTCAAAATATTTCTTCTTTTACTCATTGCTTTTAGACTGTAATAATGTGAGAGTATAGAATTAGGCATCGGTGCTTCCTTTGCACCATCATGCTTGAGAGTGGACTTTCTGGGGGATTGATAGAAAGACCTGCATCCTTACTTGGATATGTTTTGAACTATCTAATGAAGTAATCCCTGTCAGAGTTCCTACAGGTGCAGTGGTATCGACTGCCCTTGGGGTGCTGAGCAGCAGCTTCGTTTGGGGTACAGGCCAGAAAAAAAATACCTTTACAGGATCTGGGCTTTGTATCACGTAGGCCTTTTTTCTTTTCTAAGCTTAATTTTTTCCCCTCTTATTCCTGCTGTCATAAAATGAGTGGTCGTGGGGGTTTTGTACAGAATAATGATACCTTAACTTGTTGCTGTAAGAGAGTCTTTTCTTAATTGATGTACGTTCGTTGCAATGTGAAGTTAGTGAAATTAGAGCTACTCTTGCCAGTAATTTAATGGCCTGTTCTTCATCTCCTCTGGCGGTATAATTTCTATCCATGAGTTGGAAGTGTATCAGCACAAGTCCTCCATGGGACCTCTTCATTACAGTAAACATT